AAAAAAAAAAAAAAAAAAAAAACCACAACACAAACAAACACCAATAGGGTAATTCTTCGTGGATATTTACAGTCCAGAGGCAGGTGGGACAGGAACCAGTCCAATTACAGTCTGTGATAAAGCCAACATGAAGCATAAAGGAGTCCGATGAGCAACCGGAGGATCTCTCAGAGAAACAGCTGGTGGCTCTAAAAAGAGCCTTTTGTTGCGAAGAAGAAGCGAGTGGTTTACTTCTTCTTTGGTGTAGCCTTCTTGGCCTTAGCAGCTTTAGGCTTTGCAGCCTTCTTTGCAGGCTTTTTGGGGGTCGCTGCTTTCTTGGGCGCGGCTGTCTTCTTCACCTTGGGGCTCTTTGCCTTCTTGGCCACAGCCTTCTTTGCAGCTGCCGTGGGCTTCTTTGCCTTCTTCGGGGTGGCTTTTGCTGCTTTGGGCTTCTTGGCGGTGGCTGGTTTCTTAGCTGCAGTTGCCTTCTTTGCCGCCGGCTTCTTTACTTTAGCAGCGGGCTTTTTGGCTGCCTTCTTGGGCTTCTCCGCTGGCTTTGCTGCCTTGAAAGAACCGGATGCCCCGGTTCCGGTGGTGTGGACCAGAGCGCCTTTCTGCACCAGGCTTTTCAAAGCGCGCCTGACGTGAGCAGAGTTATGCTCTACGTCGTAACCGCGAGCGACGAGATCCTTCTTAATAGCAGCCAGAGAGAGTCCTTTACGTTCTTTGGACTCGTTCACAGCTTTTACGATGAGCTCGCTAGCGGACGGGCCAGACTTCTTGATAGTCTTGCTTGCTGATGCCTTCTTCTTCTTGGCCGGGGCCTTTGCTGGAGCCGCCTCGGCGGCCGGTGCTGGGGCTGCTGCGGGAGCGACTTCTGCCATGTCGTTAACAGAGTGGTGTTTGTCGATGAGACGATAGAAATCTCCGCACAGTGACTGGAACTTAAATACAACACGAGAACCGTGGAGACTCAACCCTGCCTGCAGCTCACAGCTGCAGCGAGAAGACCTTGGCTCTTGTGTTTTCTCCTCTTAATAAACTACGTTAAAACAATATCTGAAGGTAAAAGTAGATAAAAATTTCAAATCGAATCGATAGAGAAGAACTTTCTCTTTATAGGGAAGCTTTATAAACTTTATTAGTTTTCTGCAATTTGTTTTGGAAGCCTTTAAACCTGCCCAGTCCGCCGCGCCGTGAGGCACCGATTCGTGTCTTTTCTCCGACATTTTTCTTCTAAATGCGTTAAAATCTAAAATAACCCCTCAAAAACGAGGTAAACAGCGAGGCAACATGTTTGTCCACACATGCTATGTCAAAACAATGATCCCCGTCGGATACCTTTTCATAAAACTGAGGTTATTTCGGTGCCTGCAAACACACATGAGTTGGTGGAGGAAACAGTGTAACTCGTTAACTCCACACACTCTGTGCCCTCAATTTACTATAGATTTTCATTAATTAATGATACACGAATTATAGCTCTGGCTCCGTGAAATGTGTAATATG